GCGGGGGGCTCGGGGGCGGGGTCGTCGGGCGCTGGGAGCGCTGGGTGCCTCCGCCCGGCCCCGCCGCCGACGCGCGCACCCCCTCCTCGAGCGGGGTGCGGATAAACAAGGTATTGTTTCTCGCTCAGCGGCAGAGGAATATGGGTCAGAACCGAGCCCTGCTGCACGGTGGCACCGCGGGCTGGGAACCGGGAGTACGGAGTGTTTACTCGCTGTCGTGAGGGGAGAAGAGGTGTGGCGAATGTGCTCCGACTGTACGTGGTGATAGGGCATTCTTATGCAGCACGAAACCCAGTGTGTCTCTTCCTCTCAGTTGCGTTAGCTGCTGTTTCTGGTTGATTTTGCTTCCTTTATTCTCAGTAAATTTTCCTTGCAGGGAGCTTATTTTTTTGCGTGGGTTTTGAAGAAAGTACTTCTTTAACTTAGCATATATTTAAAGTGCTAGTTTACTCTGCGAAGTTATTTTTTAACTAAAAATAAGGAATTATATGTCTTCTCACTTAGTGTAATTTTTAATAAACAATAGATAAAGCACCCTGGGCTATTTCTGTATTTTCTTGTATGAGAATTTGCAGCCTATCAGCCTTACATTGAACTCTTAAAGACTGGTGGCATTCTTGGTAATTAAATAAGCAGAGTTAAGTCCGTCTTCGGTTAGAGCCATTGCAATTATTCTTTGTACATGAACTTACATTGCTTTGTAGGATTCTTCATTACCTGCCATTTTATAAAAGTGCGGCACTATTTTTAAAATAGAAAGCAATATTTGGAATTTGGTCTGAGATTCCTTTTAATAGAAGTTTAAAAATAGAATTTAATTGTGGCATTAAAAATAACCTTGTTTTTGAAAATCTTGCAGGTCTGTCATTGGACATAACTACTGAAATACCGAAACTACTTTTATATTGCAATTTAAAAAGAAACGTATCATAAACCAAGTGTTACTGCTTGTACAGTATTTACACATTTAAAAATAATGACAATTTAAAAATACAATATTAAGACTTACACAGTAATTTTTACTATTTTCTTGGCATGCAACCACGTTGTTTTGATGTTAATATGAAGTAGGTCAATGTAGGCTTTACTAGTTTCATACTACACAATAGCTGACAGTTAAATATCTTGCTTTCAGTTTTAATTTTAAAATGAGAAGTTTTTGGCTTTGACAGTAGTCATGCTGTGGCAATTGACTAGGTCATATATTTCAAATGGTGTTGAGAGGGAAAAAAAGAGATAGAAAGCAGGCTTTATTAGTCACTGGATACGCTAAACCCCCTTTTAAAGCTGTAATTCAAATGAAGACATGATTCTCTTGTTTACCATCTATGTTTCCACAAAACAACCTTTTTTTTTTTTTTTAACTCCATATGGTGTCATAACTTGGTGTCCCTGAAATCATAATTAAATTGAATGAAACACTTTGGTTTTTATATTCAAACAACACTCAGTTAACGTACTAAAATCTTTAAGAAAGGCATTTCTTAATTTTTATTTAATTTTTTTTTTGTGAGACATTCAGGCTGGCCCTGCGCTCACTTTGTAGCCCAGGCTGGCCTTGAACATGCAGCAATGCTCTTGCCTCAGCCTTCCTAATACTGGAATTACAGGTGTGTGCCACCATGCCCGGCAAGAAAAGCAAATTTTAAAGGTTGAATTAGATTGTTGTATTTTAATTTACAGAAGAACAATAAGGGAAAAAACCTTAATATTTTTAAAATAAGTATGAGTTATGTAGGCCCTGAGTAAAGTGTTTGAAAACGATAATTGAAGGTTTTTCTTAGTAAATCGTGATTTAATTCTTTCTTTGATAATTGATATTTATACATCCATTACAACTTAACTGTGCTGACTTTATAATGAGAAAAACCTTCTCAGTAGTGTGTACTTCAGTTTTTGGTCTTTTCTCTGAAAAAGCGAAGGCCAGCAGACACCTTAATCTCAAAATATGCCATTTTGAATCACTTAAAATTGTAGTAGCACACTTAATAGAAATTATATTTGCAAAAGTATTTCTTTATGTTTAAAACTTAAAAATAAACATCACTGGATAATAAACATGATTAGGTATATTTAACATATGGACTCAAAACCCCTGTTCCACAAAATTGGATTTCTATGATCCAAGTAACAAAGACATTAAAAAGGGAAAGTTCCTTTACTACCTCTTCTTCTAAGAGATAGTATGTATTTGTTAAAATTCAATCGTTTTAGGTAAATATGCTTGCAATTGTTAAGGGTCTTTCCATTTTTGAAGGCAATAATACCCTTTTGGCCAATTTTTTATTGCCAAATTATTTATTATTTATTGATACAGGAAGTAATATTTTATATTACTTCCTGTATCATCCTTTGGTACCTTTGCCATTAAGAATTTGAAATTAGATTCAAAAGAAATGTGGCATTTAAGAATTATCAAATGGGTTTCAACTTAGGTTGATCATAGTTTCTAAATTACTGGACTGGCAGATCACAAACAAGTCTGTTCTTGTCCTCCTACTCTACAAATATAAATATAGTATGTGATGTAGGCCATTAGTGGACAAGTTATTATCTGTTCATAATTAATACTGTTTATTAAATTTAAATGCTGTTTAAGAAAAGTATTTCATTATAATTCCAAATATTAAATGAGTCTTTGAAAAAAGATTAAATATTCCAAGTGGAAATCATGGTACTGAAGACTACTAAGAATTGGAAATGTTATGTATTATTTAACTTATTCTAGAAAATATACAGTATTCAGTATTACTAACTAGTTAGTGTTATGTTTGTGTAATGATTTATGAGCACCTTCTGCTGATGTCCAGGTTAACAAGCCTATGGTTCTTTTCTTTTTTGGGGGTGCAAGGGGTTTGAGACATGGTCTTGTTACATAGTTCAGTCTGGCCTTGAACTCACTCTGTAGTCCAGGCCGGCCTCAAACTCATGGCAATCCTCCCGTCTCAGCTTCCAAAGTGCAGGGATTACACCCAGCAACTTCAATAAGTCTTTTTCCTTTTTTGAGAAATTTTACATGAAACCATTATAGAAATGGAATGGAAAAATAGAACATAAACATTACATTTGAAATCTCTTCTATTTGTGATTCATTATATAGGAGTAATATCATACCATGTAGGTGGAAGAGACTAACACATCTTCAGTTAGGCTGTAACATAGATAATAAACTTTCACATAGAAATTCAGAATTCAGTGGAAGTCCTGATTGTTGTAGAAAATACTCTTTTTTTCTTTTGTTTTCTTTTCCTGTCTTTGAGACAGGGTCTCGATGTGCAGTTCAGGCTGGCCTTGAGCTCACTTTGTAGCCCAGGCTGGTCTTGAACTCACAACAATCTCCCTGCCTCAGTTTCCCCACTGCTGGGATTACAGGCTTGTGCCTGCACACCTGCTTTTCTTCAAATGTCCTATAGAATGAATTTTTTTCCTACCCATTTTAGAGAAAGATAAACTAATGTCAGGGAGGCTACGAAATTGCTTTATTTGTTATCAGAGTCTGGAAGCAGCGAGTTCCAGTCCCAGAGTTCCTTGTCTTTATTTAATCCTGTAAGGCAGTGGTGGTGAATTTATGGCACATATGCCAAAGTAGGCTGTTTGTATTATTGAAAACTCTCAAAGGTTTGCCATTACCTTACGGTAAGGAATACAAACTTTCAAATCTGGTGCATTTCAGGTGTACAACTATAAGGATTTTGGATGTGGCCCATTTTGGATGTTTTCTAAATGTGAATTTAAACACAATTGAGTAATTTTGTTTTACTTTATCATTGTGATGGCAGTAAGCATATAGAAAATTAAGTGATTCCTCTCTTTCTACCTTAGAACAGTGAGCAAAGTATGGTGATCGTAAGGTTTACATAATAATGACATATTGATCCTGATTTTTGTCTTCTGTTGTAAGACTTACTTTTGTCCTAGCATCATGTAGTTTCTAGCTCTGAGAAGTAGTTATTTCGCCAACTGCAGTGGGAAGTAGTTATTTTTAAGCAAATAAAGTTAACTTTAACCATAAGTCCATGATCTTCCCCTTATTGGTGCTTTTTGATTGTCTGAATCACACCTAATTGTGATGGTTGTGTTCCTACAAGTGTTTCTGGTTTCAGAAAAAAGGCAATTCCTTGCTTCCTTGTATTTTGAAACTGATGAAATTGTCTTCCTTATTGGCCCGTGCATTTTTAAAGTTTATTTTTGTAGGACTGAGAGTTGAACTCAGGGCCTTCCCATGCTGCTATGTGCCCAGCCCTTTCTATTTTTGATTTTGAGACATGGTCTCACTGTATTCTCCGGGCTGGGCTTGAGCATCCAGTGTCTTGCCTCAACCTCCCTTGTTGCTGGGTTTATAGGCCTGGCGAGTAAAGCGATTTCAAGCTTGTCAGTTTTCCAATTTTGTTTAGTTTAGGTAATTGTACGTACGTGTATACATAGTGGATGAATTTACTCCTTCCATTGTTAAGTAACTTGGGTGATGGTATGTGCAGAACTGTGTTGGCTTCTGCCTCACCACAGAATTTGGTATTAAGGAAGAAAATGACCTTTACAGTGGTAGGAAGGACAGAGGTGAAAGATAAGCTTTGAATTAAAGTTATATCATACTAGCCAGGCATGGTGACACATGTCTGTAATCCCAGCCCTTGGGAAGCTGAGGCAGGAGGATTATTGTGAGTTTGAGACCAGCCTGGGCTTCAAAGTGAGCTCAAAGCCAGCCTGAACTGTATACTGAGACCCTGTCTCAAAAAGACAAAAAAAACCCAAAACAAACATATATATATCTATATATATATCATACTGCTTTCAATTAAATTTATGCAAATGAAAATTAAAATAAGCATTGTCATTTGCTCAAATATGAGCATTCCATAAGTACAATGAAGGACGAATAGAATTATCACAAGCAAGAACATTTTAAATGGACAGCTTATTGCGAATTGTCAGTGGTTCCTTGGGTGTTAGCTCAGGACTATTTGAAGATACTACTACCTAATTATCATGTTCTGCTAGAGTTCTGCTAGGTGAGATTAAGTGTGCAAATACTGAACACATGTGAGTTTAAAGTATTCTAAGAGCTGTCTAAGAGCTGTTTATTATGCAAAAATATGCTAGGCTCTTTGATGATCCTGGTTGTTGAGATCACTGGTTGACCAGCTATTTGTGTGCTGCTTTTGCTTGACTTTTTAAAAAAGAGGTGTTCATAAGCACTGCTCATAGGAACCTTTTTCTGTAGTAATAGAGTAGTATTGTGAGGCTGTATTGAATGTCATATTGTAAATTGGACT